TTAACTTGCCCCAGAGGACATCGCTTCTGTTTTATCAAAGCTGGCAATGGCCAGCGGTATAAGGTGGATGATGACTCTAAGGTTGCCAGGTGTGACATGACTTCTGCCCTGCGGGAGCCTGCTTAGGTGCCTGCCTACGTCCAGCAGACTGATCTCAAAAAGGATGGTGCCACAGTGCCTGTCGGCAGAGTAAACAAGGCTCTTGGCCCCTGAACACCAGGTTGGGAAAGCCCAGCAGAGGAAAGCTCAACAGAGGATCGCGAATGGAAACCGCAGAGCCACAGGGACACACGGAGAATACAGCAAGCAAAAAAAAAAATCTCTTTAGACCTCTGGAAAGTCCTTCAGGAACACAGCAGCCCGAAGCCTGTGCTGAATCTCAGGACAGTTTAACCCACTCTGCCAGCCAAGGAAGGCAGATTCACCAAGCCAGACACAGAGAACGGTCCACCAGGCTCCTGACTGCTGGGAGTTGGGGGTAGCTGGTGGAGCCCGGGATGGTGAGTGGCAGTGGTTGGGGTAATGAACACTGCGCAATTCTGTAGTCTGGGACTGAGACCAAGAACAAGGGCAGGAGATCCGGCTGTTACCTAGCGCTCATTCCTCTTGTGGACACACTGAAACGGAGGACACCCTTGGAGCAAGAAATGGATTCACCCACCAGGCAGGACAGAACGTCTCACCCTCAGGTGCTCTCCATTTGTTTGCAGTGCCCTTGCCTGCCCTCCCCTCAACCCCACCCCAGCTGAGCCACGGGACTGACAATTTGAAAGTGGAAGAAACTGCTCAGGGTATTGATAAAAGTTAAACCTTCCTGGATTCTTGGGAGAAGTCTGCAACGCCCTCTGCTGGAGCTCATCGGCTTTGCTCGGGAAAACTTAACCGCGCACAAGCCAGGATTCAGGATTTCAATTCAGCTGATGACTTGTTTGCCAAGCCCAGGTTTGTTTGCTGTATAGAGTACATTGTAGGACTTTGTTTTGATTCAGTAACTTGAAATGCAAATCTTTTGACCAAGTCAATTTTGTTACTTGACACTTTGTCAGTCTTTTATTTTGCCGTGAATGCAAATTGATTTGAATATTATCCAAGTTTTTACTGAATATTGTAGTAATATTGGCCTCATGGATGTTTTTCCATAGTTTTCTTTAGCTAGGTCTATTTCTGAGACATGGATCACAACGGGTGAAAAGATTATCTGTTATAAACAGTGTGAAGAAAGACAAGAGGGTTTGAGTTTTGCTTTAAAGAATGTCCGTCGTGGAATAAGAAGGCCCAGGTGCTATGATGCTCTGAAGGAGAAATGGGAAAAACGTGGGTGTAGGAGAGGGAAGGGGGAAAGGATGTTTGAAGATGCTGGCCGTGAGAGGACAGCTAGAGAGACGGCTCCGATTTAGGAGTACCGGCTGCACAACAGAGCCAGCACTGTTAGCTCAGGTGTGGGTGAACCAGCCCCGAAATTGTAACAAAGGAGAGCTAGCACCCGTGTCCCACTTCGCGGACCAACCCTACAGCTGCCCAGGCTCAGACCCAGGGTTATGACTTGGCCTGCCCCAACATCCACCCATCTATGATCTGCTGGAATACGTGAAGGGAACTGACACGCGGACCCGAAGCTGCAGGATTTCCACGACACAGGGCGGCAGCGGGATGTCCAGGAAGAATCCTAGTGGGGGCCCAGCATCAAGCGTGTAATTAAGACCAAGGGCCTCCCTAGACAATAATAAGGACCCTAAGAGAGACATACATAGATCTAATCTACATGGGAAGTAGAAAAGACAAGATCGCCTGAATAAATTGGGAGCATGGGGACCTTGGGAGAGGGGAGAGACAGGGAGGGGAGCAGAGAAAAATGTAGAGCTCAATAAAAATCAAGTAACAAAATAGTTTTCTCCAGTTGGTGGTGGCATACGCCTTTAATCCCAGCACTCGGGAGGCAGAGGCAGACAGATCTCTGTGAGTTCGAGGCCAGCCTGGTCTACAAGAGCTAGTTCCAGAACAGGCTCGGAAAGCTACAGAGAAACCCCGTCTCAAAAAAAAAAAAAAAACTAAACTAAAAAAAAAAATAGTTTTCAGTATGAAATGCTGCATCTTAAATGCTATTCTGGCAACATAGACATATAAGTGAGCTATTAAAGCATGCAGCAATTTGTGGGTTACTTTTTACTAATATCTTAATATCCTAACTTTTATACTGCACTTTCACTCTACAGAATTGTTATATAGGAAATTAGCTGGAAAGGACTGAACAACAGGACCCAAATGATAGGAGATTGACATCATGCAGACTGAGCAGGTTGTATTCATGTGTTTAGGAATATACCTATGTATACATACATATATATGCATATATATATATCACAACAATTAATGTAAAAAGAGGCCATGAATCTGATCGCAAGCAAGACAAGGCGCATTGGAAGGTTTGGAGGGAGGAAAAGGAATGAAGAAATGGTGTAATTATACGATCAAAAAGAAAAAAATACAGAAAGGAAAAAACTTCCCCCCCCCAAAAAAAAAAGCAAGAACAATTGATGGACCAGTTCAAAGTTCTACAACAGGGTATAAAGAGGAAAATGGCTGACTCATTATGATATCAAGATAATGGTGGAGGTAGGCTCCAGGTGGCTACAATGAAGCACGTAGCGTATGCTAACTACGTCAGATTACAGCAATATCAGGACGCATGCTCCAGGTGAGCACGCACAGAGAGAGTGCTGATGCCCTTTCCACTGGTAAAGCTTTCTTATTCATAGATACTTAAAACTCTATGATGCCTATGCCTGCATCTTACACATCTACTTATAACAGAGCTATAGGCGTCTGGGCAGTGTCAATCCCGAGAGAGATAGAAGGGAGACTCAACATAGAGCAGTCTAAGCCTCATTCCTGACAAAACTGAGACCACTGCTGCCCTGCTCAAGTCTCTTTTCTTTCTAAAAAGTATATTGTCTCTTCTCTAATTGGTTAATCTAATTAACAGACGATACACCCTTATGTCCCAACTGAATCCTTCTCTTTGGAGAGTTCGGGAACCGAGACTGCTGCTTCATTAGAGACCAAAAAAAAAAAACAAAACAAAACAAAACCAAAAAAAAAAAAAAGAAGAAGAAGAAGAAGAAGACCAGGGGCCTCAAGCCAGACCAATAACTTTGCAATGAAGACTTGCCAGTAGAGATGTATGGTTAAAGCGGCACACGGGGTGACTCGGGTCGCACTGAAGCTTCCATGATGAGACTTTTAATTCCTTCCCTTTAAACATTTTTCTCATTTTATTTTCTTCTCTCTCTCTCTCTCTCTCTCTCTCTCTCTCTCTCTCTCGAATTTTGTTTTAGTCGGGGAGGGGTGTGTGCAGGGGCAGAGGGCGGATCCAAAGGGACAGGGAATGAATGGAATCAAGAACAACACATAGAATCAACTTTTTAAAAATTAAGAGTATTAGCTGCTCTTCCAAAGGACCCAAGTCTGATTTTCAGCCCCCATACTGCTCTTCACAACCTACAACCTTTTGTAAGCCCAGTTCAAGGAGATCAACTCCCTTTTCTGGCCTCTGCAGGCAATGTGCACACATGAAGCATGGACATGCACACAGGCAATAACACACACACACACACACACCATAAAAATAAATAAATGATATCAGAGGCCTGACTGGTTGCTCCTGCAGAGGTCCCAGGTTCGGCCCGATTCCCACAGGCGTCTTAACCCTGGCTGACTGCCCTCGGCTGGATGAAGTCACCTGCAATCCCTTACACAGTCTTTTCTGCGTTGAGGCCTGAGCTAGAGAGGAAAACAAGACCTTGTGGCGGATGGAGCAAGAAGAGGTATAGTCAGGGCGATGCTGTATCAGGAAGGGCTTCTCGCAGCCTGTGCCTAGCACTTTGCCGGGATTTATAGCAAAATGGTTAGCTCTCGTGTGGGAAAATTGTCTGTGTGGGTAAGTGTGAGGGCATACATCATCTGTAAGCGATTGTGCCGTTCGTTCATAGGAGCAAACACCAAACTGTTAGTTGGGGCTTTTATTTTTGAAGCATTTAAAAAGCAAAATATTTAAAATTTTAAAACGTAAAACAAAAAATTAAATTAATCAGTAGAAGTTTGATTTTTTATTGATTAATTTAAATTTATTTCTATTTATATTGATTAATGATGCTAGAAGCTTTTAGCCTCTTCTGTTGGCTTTCAGCTTCTCTCTCTCCCTCCACCCTCTCGATTTTATTTTTTGCTTTCATATGTTTCTAATTAATTATCATACACTTACCGTCTTCATATATTATGCCAAGTCATTCTCTCCCTTCCTTACTCCAGTCCTCTTTCCTCTCCCTGGAGCTCCCTTCCTCCCCACTCTGATACAGCCTGGAAACCTCTGCATCCTGTCTTCTAATTTATTTGTTCGGTTTGTGCAGATTTAACTATGTTTTATAATTTTATCTTCATTGTTCCCAGTTGTTAATCTGTTGAGTTTCTATTACAGTTGGAAAAAACATTTTTAATTAAAAAAAAAGTATTGTTTTTTTCCAGACAGGGTTTCTCTGTGTAGTCCTGGCTATCCTGGAACTCATTCTGTAGACCAGGCTGGCCTCAAATTTAAAGAGATCCACCTGCCGCTGCCTCCTGAGTGCTGGGATTAAAGATGTGCGCCACAACCACCCAGCCTGGAAACAAGATTTTTAAAATTCTTCTTATTTTTGTTTTATGGCTATTTGTGTTTAGCTTGCATGTGTGTATGTGCAACATGTGTGTGTCTGGGATCTGTGGGGTCAGAAGAGGGTGTTGGAGCTCCTGGAACTGGAGCTGGAGATGTTGTGAGTCAACACGTGGGTGCTGGGAAACTGAACACGGGTCCTGCTGAGGAGTAGCCATCTCTCGGCTCAAAGGGAGTTTCTTATATTTAAATATTTTGCCTAAATTTGGAAATGTCATAAAGAAATGATATCTGAGCACATTTGAATCCAATATTCAGTTTTATTGGCAAGCCAAACAGAGCCTGGTTAAAGAGCTGGAAGCGTTCAGTGTGGAGATTACGTTGCTTTAGAGGCACAGAGCTCTCCTTGGGCTGTTTACCGTGGTCTATTTTATCTTGTTCTTGAGGGGTTCTTGATAGTCCGAAAAGATAACTGGGGTTGGGATGGGCACAAGAACCCACCACATCCGGCAGCATTTCCATCTTCTTCGGCAGCCGCCGATTTCATCTTCTATAACTTTGCAGATGTCTCGTCTGCAGATGCCTTCCAGGTTGAAACAGTGGGTCTCTGCAGCACCCAAACCACTTCTAACTGCGGAGAAGAAACCAGGGCAGCAGTTAGCCCAGTGTGTGAATGCCAAAGCATCAGCATCCTCGCACGGGAAGGCATCATAGTTCTCCTCTCTCTGTGAGGGAAAGGAGCCAGATCAAAGATCCGCTAAGCAGCTGTTCCCCACTGACCCCCCCACTCACCCTCTCTCCCCTTCTCCCACAGCTTGCTCTTTGATTTTCTTATAAACACACGAAAAGTCTAGATAAAGCTGCAGACGTTACTTCGTTAAATATCAGACTGAAACAAGAAGGGTAGGGACAAAATAGATTCCCCAGATACACTGCTGCCTTCATCGCTGTACTCCTTTATGCAGAATGTCAACAAATCCTTGCTATTCACTCACGGAACACTTTTCTTTATAAGAAAGAACAGTACAAATGGCATAAAGCCTCCCTTACTAACACAGAGGTTACAAATGGTCAAGGAATCTAACCATACAAACAAAACAAACAAACAATCCACAGAGTAATGAGGTGATTCAAAAGTGGCAAATGTTCCAGACAAAAATAATACAATAAAGAATCAGATACAACCTGGGGGACAGAAGAGAGAAGACGGACAGAGACTGCTTTCTGAGGTGGTGAAAACAATAAGCAATTATCCAAGCGGAAGCAAAAGAGCGCGCAGGACAGCAAGACCTGAGTCCTCAGACTAAGACTTTGTCAGGAAAAAGTCAGCTGAGATTAAACGTAGACTCCAGCCGGTCCCAGGCTCACGGGCCATGGTAAGGAGGAAGATTCACATCTCTGATGCTGTGGTTGCCTTACTTCGTCTCCTTTCAGGCCGCTTATGACAAACGTCTTAATGTTGACTGTTCTCACTTTTTCTTGCCTTCTTTCCCTCTCTCCCTTTGGATAGGGCAGAGTCAAGATTTCATGGGAAAACTTTGTATGGTAGTCAGTTGTGGTGCTAGTCTATGCTAAGCTAATATTCCCATTTTATTATTTTGATTGATATAGGCATATGATGTTATCCATCAGGAGATCAAATAGTATTAGTTCACATTATGGGGTCACGGTTTCCATCAGGTGAGGCTGTCTCTGTGATAGAGCTGGCGTCTGCATCCCTGATATACACTGAGACTTTGGCTCCAGACTTTGGGTGTAAGCTAACTCCTTATAACAGTGACTGTAGATCTTGCATTTCATGCAGACTTTGATCACTGGTGTGCATGGCCACAGTGGCTCTGGGCTCTGGTGCATGAGTGAGTTCACTCTGGTGCCTGATTTGGTAGCCGGTGCGTAGGCGTGCACAGAGAGCTGTTAGTGGTTTTGATTTTTCTTTCTTTCTTTTTTTTAATATTTATTTATTTATTACGTATACAATATTCTGTCTGTGTGTATGCCTGCCGGCCAGAAGAGAGCCACCATGTGGTTGCTGGGAATTGAACTCAGGACCTTTGGAAGAGCAGGCAATGCTCTTAACCTCTGAGCCATCTCTCCAGCCCGGTTTTGATTTTTTCAAGACAGGAACTCTCTGTATAGCTTTGGCTGTTCTAGAACTCACTCTGTAGAGCAGGCTGGCCTCGAACTCACAGAGATCTACCTGCCTCTGCCTCCCGAGACGAGGCAGACACCACCACCGCCCAGCTACAAGACTAATTTTAAGGCTGGGGGGTCACCACAACATGAGGATATATTAAGGGGTTGTAGCATTAGGAAGGTGAGAGCCACTGCTCGAGTGAGTATTCATAACATATATAGGGTAACTCCGTGTGGTGGGCATGCGGGGGATATTCCAATTGAGGTCTTAATTGGAGACTATTAAGACCTTACTCGGAGTCTCGGGTCACAATTCCACCCCTAAAAAAGGGAACATAGGAGCTGGGGAGCGGGGGAGGAAATATACAGACAGCGGGACTGAAGAGGTTTAATGACAGGGCAGAAGACAGGACACACTGTGGGGAGGAAGCCCCTGATACCCAAATGGACTGAGAGACAGGAGCTCCAACAGAGCCCCTTGGAGGTACAGCAGTGGAGAATCCCTGGCAATAAGTGGAGACCCAAGGAGTCCCTTGGCATGGCAGCCGCAGCTCTCTGTGGGCAGAGACTACTCAAAGAGGAATATGAAACAAACAACCAAGAGTTCTTCTATTTTAGACATATTCATTTTGAAATCAAGCTTAGAGACAGCCGAGGTGCCCATGGATCATTCATTCCAAGTCTGGAATTCTCAGGAAAAGCCCAAGGGGGGATTTAAAGGACTGAGGCTAGCTAAGTCCTTAACAAGTGAATGAGAATAGACTGGAGAAGAGGGCCAGGAAACTGAGCCCGCGGGCTCGCTCCAGGAGGAAGCCCAGAAAAGATGAGGGAGCAGTGGGGAAACTGAGGTGAATCAAGTGACTTCCATACTGGAGTCTTTGGGTGACTCTGGCATGTCGTAAAGAGAGGAGGGGCTGACTTTGGGGAAATCTGCTAACAGGCAAAGTAAGTTAACCGTGATGACTGGCTGGCTGGGCCAACAGCATGGCCGTTGCTAACACTTGTGCAGGGAGGAAGAGAAAGCTTTTTCTTAATGAGTAGGAAAAGACAAAGGCAATTTCAGTATCAGAGTTTGAGGGTTGGGGAGAATGTTCGGTGGGGATCTATTTAAGAGAGAATGGAAGGGGATGATTTCAAGGACAAGACTGCAGGTCAGGATTTTAAGGTGTTTTCCACAAAGTGGAACAGGAGAAGCAAAGTTTTTTTTTTTCAAAGATCAGATGAATATTAAAATGTTTGTATTTTGATGATGATAATCCAGTAGGAATATGATTAATGTTAAATCATGGACATAATGAACTGCAGCAGAAAGATCCCTAAACACACAAGAGGAGATGGAATATCTGCAATATATATATAATATAAACACACATTTATAATAAATCTTCTAGTTTCTCTTTGAGTCTTGGGAGCACTGATGGTGATATCAACCCAGTCATCTGTGAAATAACTATTTTAAATAAGTTCTAAATTTTTTCTTGATCAGTATTACCAGATTACTATAAACTATGCTATTCTTTCAATAAATGAATAAATAAATTTTTTTGCTTTGTTGATCTTTTGTTTCCTTTGTTTCTTGTATTCATTAGTTCCTTTTTAATTTATTCTTTGGGTTTATTATGATATCTTTTCTGACGTCACATAATGCATGCTCAGCCTCCTAACTTTTAGTAACCATTTGCCATTCTTTGCATCCACGCTTATGTTCAGTCACCATGTATAAAGCTCTTACTCACCGAGTCACTGCAGCTCGGTGTCTTTGCTTATTTGTCTGCAGCGGTTGCCCTCCTCTCATCCCACAGGTCGAGTTTGCAAAATGGTTTTTGTGTATAACAACTTTTACGAAGTGTCTTACCTTGGGTTTCGTTGGTTTATATTTTGGCCCATTTCACAAAGCCAGTAAGTTCCCTCGCTAACTTCCAGTTAGCTGACAGTGGCTCCGACCTTTTACTTGTTTTGGAATAATAATCACTTTGTAGGTTTGTATCTTCCCATCAAATGTCCAGGTCTGTGTGACCCTTGTTCAACATTCCCTCTCCCTGATGAGATTCCATCCATCTCCTCTGAGAGAGCAGATGTCATTATGGATGTCCCTGCCCGTGTCCTAGAAGAGCTGGGCATCTACAAAGAAATTCCCATGCCTCGCAAGGCACCAGAGACACAACGAAACGATATAGTACAGTGTGCATTTGGCATTTGGGTTAATGGTACTGGACATCTATTTTACTCTGACATAATCTTAGTGGAACTGTTGCTATTAGGTTTCTGAACCTGTAAGGTTAATTAGTTTCTGACCTTCCAAAGAAACTTTTAAACTGAAGGCCCCTCTCTATAGTCAGCCACCAACTTACCTGGGGGTAAGAGAGTTAAAAGGAAGAGGAGAGTATGGAGGATCAGATGGAATCTCATGGCTGAAGGGTCCGCGATGTGAAGATGCAGAGACCTGCTCAAGTCTGAGGTCTTGGAGTATGGCAGATCCGGGGCTTTTTATGATGGTTTTAGGTCTGTGGTTTGTTCTTGGCTAGCAGAGCCTAACCAAGAAAATAACTTATTCTCCCACATGGAATCTTCAAACACACAAGAGGACACAAATGTGGCAATAATTCAACGGGTGAAAATCAGTAGACCCAAAATAGTCAATACAATTGTTGAGGGAAAGAACAAAGTCAAAGACCAAGCAATACCCAACTTCGATACTTACTGTAATATAAACTCACAATAATAAAGCTATATCACAAACTAGTAAATCAATGCATCAACAGAAGATAAAATTCCCAGAATTAGACTTACACAAAAATAGTTTGTCAAAAACCAAAGGCTCGTTGGGAAAAAATAAATTTCTCAACAAATAATGCTATAGCAAAACTTGAAACCCATATTTAGAACTATGTATCTAAGTATATATCTTATAACTGTCACAAAAATTAAGGTGGATGATATTGCTCAACATAAAACAGAGTGACGTGATGTTGGAAACTATCTAGGCAACCTAAGATTTAGCGTTGACTCCTTAAAAGATGAAATTTCAAAAGCGGGACTTGGAAATGACAGAACCGACAACTTAGACTTCATTAAAATAAGAACTTTCCTTACATGGAAGGCATTCCTAGGAAGATGGGAAGGACGTGACGGTTGGAGGAGAGTCTTTATAAAATATCTAATAAAGTACTGGGATCCAAAATACACAAACAATGCCTAAAAATCGATGAGAAAGCAAGCAACACAAACTTAGGTCAAAAGAATGAGCAAGAATTTTTACCAGCGATGGGCAGTAAGCAAATAAGCTCAAAAGACAAAGAAGAAAACTCACTCATCGTCATACTTTATCGCAATTGTGGACACTGAAGTAAAATCCCATTACAGAACACTATTGGATATCAGGAAAGGTGTGAAGAACAGGAGTGTCCACTCAGCTTAGGACACCAGTATAACTTTGCCACTGAGTGAAAATGTTCAGCCAAGTTTATCTTCACCATGTTAATCTTCAGAATCTACCTAAATAGAGAGTTTTATACTCATACAAAACCTGCACGTGAACTATATAATTAATAGCAACCTTTTATACTTGTTCACAATTTAAGAAGTTAACAGGATATTTTCCAATAGACATCCAGATACAGGGAGCATTTAGAGTCCAATGAGACTTGACTTAAAAAGAACCGCTCCAGGGCATATTATAGTTAAAATACCAAAAATGCAGGACAAAGGAGAAAGTTTAAAGCGGCAAGGAAGAAAATCCAAGTCACAGATAAAGACAAACTGATCATCAATAAAACCCTGTTTCTCACCAGAAGTTCAAGAGGACGTGGGCTGATATGCTGCAGGCCCTGCTCAAAGATTACTGCCAAACTAAAACACCATACCCTGCAAAGCTACCCTTCAAAACTGAACAAGAAGTAAAGGCTTTCCAAAATAAGCACAAACTAATAACTTTATAAGTACTAGACTAGTATCATATCAGATACTGGGAGAAATCTGGACTGCAAAGAAAAGTAAGGCAGACCATGGAACATGCAGAAGAGTAAGAAGAGTGTCGTTAGGAGAACAGCCAAGCAAACGAGAATTGGGAAGAAACCACAAATGATTGAGTAAAATGCCAAACCTCCAAGATGAAGGGAAAAGAAGTGAACATAACTAAAAAAGAAAGAAAGGCTTTTAAATAGCAGAAACGAGTATATATTTTTTTAATAATAACAACCTTTAATATAAATAGTCTTAATTCTCTAATTAAAAGATGTAGCCAGTGGTGGTACACATCTTTAATCTCTGCACTCAGAAAGCAGAGGCAGGCAGATCTCTGTGAGTTTGAGGTCAGCCTGGTCTACAGAGCAAGTTCCAGGACAGGCTCCAAAGTTAGAGAAATCCTGTCTCAAAACAAACAAACAAAAAAGAGTAAATTGGTTGATTTGATTTTTTTAAAATAAATAAATAAATAAATAACAACTAAATAAATCTCAACGACTTGCTGCTTGTAGAAAACTCACCTGACTGGTCAAGATATTCTCAGACTGACTATGGAAAGAATAGAAAATTGTATACAGGTAAACAAAAGACAAAAGCAAGCAGAAGGAACCATATTCATAATTAATACAGCAGGCTTCAAGGCAAAATTAGCCCAAAGAGACGAAGACAGTCATCACGTATTGCTAGAGAGAACAATGGGCCAAGAAGGTGTGAGGTGTGTGTGTATGTGTGTGTGTGCACATGCAGCTAAAACATCATATATACAAATGATGTCAGACTACACTATTTTATAAAAATATAATACTGGGTATAAATCAAGAAACAGACTCAATGTAATATTACTGAGTGATTTTTAAAAATTCCTTTATTTAATGACTTCATGTATTTATTTTATGTAAATTTGTGTTTGTCTACATGTACGTGTGTTGTATGAGGGTATCAGAGCCCCTGAAGTTACAGACAGTTATGAACTGTCATATGGGTGCCTGGAATTGAACCTGGGTCCTCTGGAAAAGCAACCAGTGCTCTTAACCACTGAGCCATCTCTCCAGCCTTCTAGTGAGTGATTTTAATGCCCCTCATTCATCAGTGGATGGACATCCAAACAAAAAGAATTAGCAAGGAAACCCTGAAGTTAGACACTATATTAAAAGGACTTAGCAGACCTCCACAAAACGTCCTATCCAAAAGTCCCAGAATCCACATTCTTTACAAGCTCATGGAATTTTTTTTTTTTACCAAAACAGATCATGTCTTCAACTATGAATCGGATATGAACAAATATAAAAATGCCATAATTTCTTGCATTTTATTGAATCATAACTGAATTAAACTAAAAATAAACAGCAAGAGAAATGTACAGATCTTTAACACACAGGCATTATAATTACACCCTTGGCCAGTGTCACCAGAGGAAAATGAGAAAAATTAAGTTTCCAGGATCAAAAGAAAATGGAAATGCAATGTGCCAGGAACTTATGAGACACAGTGAAACAGTTCTAAGACGAAGGCTTAGAGATGAGTGCTTGAATTTATAAGACAGATCTTGCCAGGCAGTGGTGGCGCTCGCCTTTAATCCCAGCCCTCAGGAGGCAGAGGCAGGTGGATCTCTGTGAGTTTGAGGCCAGCCTGGTCTAGTTCCAGGGAGGCTCCAAAGCTACAGAAAAACCCTGTCTCGAAAAACAAAACAAAACAAAAAGACAGATACAGATATCAAATTAATAACCTATTGTTTTCTTCAAGGTCTTAGGGAAAAAGCCAGTGAAATGGTTGAGCAAATAAAGTTGCCTGTTCCCATGCCCGATGACCTGAGTTAATCCCTGTGTCACACGTGGTGGAAGGGGAGAACAGACAACTGCAGGTTAACCTCTGATCTCCACACGTCACTGTGGCACGCGGGAACCCACATGTATGTGTGCAAGGACACATACAGTAGATAAGTAAGTAAGCATGATAGAAATAATTTATAATTCAGCAAATAACAGGATACAAAACCAATAGCTTTTATACTGCATATGAATTTTCTGGGAAAGAATCAAGATGCCTATCACATTAACAATAAGTGCCACACCCCTAACCCACCTACCAAAAAAAAAACAATAACCAAGCATACAAACAAATAAACAGACACTTATGAGTAACCCAACCAGGAAGATGAGAGATCAAGGCAAAGAATATTATAAAACACTGAACAAAGCAGACATGTAGCTAAGCGAAACAGATACTAAAATAGAAGACCCATAAACAAGAGCCCACATAACTACTTGGGAAGACAGGTTCTCCTCATGCTGAAGAGCAAAGCCAGACGCTTACCTCTTGTGCACAAAGTCAGCTCTACGTGGCTCATGTACAAAATCAACCCAGAATGGCTCAGAGACCTCAACGCGACACATGACATTTCTAAAATAAAAGCAAGTGTAGATATGTACTCATGATTTTGGCACAGAAAAAGGCATGCTTCTAAATAGGACACTAGTAAGGAAATAATAGGAATTGACAAATCAACTTGCATCAAATTCAAAACCTTTTGCATAGCAAAGGAATCCATTTCTGCAATGAAGAAAAAGCCTTGAGGCTGGCGAGATGTCTCAGCAAGTAAAGGTGCTTGCCAAACTGAGTTCAACCCCCAGGACCCACATAGTGGAAAAAAAGAACCAACTCCTGCAAATAATAATAATAATAATAATAATAATTTAAAAGTTATTTTCAATTGAAAAAGAAACTATGCAGGATGGGCAATAATTCTTGCCAGCAATTCATCCATCAGAAGATTAATAACCAGAATATATAAAGAATGCAAAAAGGTAACACCAGAAGAAGAAACAATCCAACCACCAAAAATGGGCACAAGAACTGGGCTGATGCTTCTCGAAATAGTTGACGATGGCCAATCATTGCACAAAGAAACATTCAACATCTTTAGCCATCAGGAAAATACAAATTGAAACTACACTGATATTCTTTTTACCCCAGTCAGAATGGCATCAACAGCAAAACAAACACAGGAAAAAATAAAGCAGCCCCAGGGAGGATTCAAGGGTGGAGCAGGAACAAATTATTCATAGACTATTGCTAGGAATTTAAACTAGTATAGCTGTGATGGATAGAGAATCCTAAAAACCCAAAAATAGAAATGCCACGTGATCCAGCTGTAGCATCCCTAGATATGTGCCCAGAGAAATCAGCATCAGCATCTTCTGCTGACGCCTGCATACATCTGTCTATCATACACTCTTCAAACTGGCCAAGCCACCAGCCTAGGTGTCTTTGATGGTCTGAGTGAGAAATATCTCCCTTAGGCCTAGGTGTGTGAACACTTTGTCTCTAGTTTGTGACAGTGTTTGGGGTAGGGGTAGGAAGTACAGCCCTACTTGAATAAGCATTTCACTAGGGAAGGAACTCCAAGAGTTTTAAAACCTTGGGCCACTTCCATTCCTTCTCCCTGCTTCCAGTGCTTGCATTGAAGATGTGTGCTCTTAGATTCTTGCTCCCATGCAGCTGTAAAGCTTGCTGCTCTGCCTCCCTGCAGCGGTCTATTTTTATATCTCCGTACCTCTTCCTTCTATAGATAAGCCGCTTCTGCTTATGGTGTGTTACTACAGAGACAGAAAAGTAACTAATACAGTCTCTATCAAAGGATGAATGTATAAAGAAATGTAGTTTTTTTATTATGTTAAATGTGTAGATTGCTTTTAGTAGTATAGACTTTTACACAATATTAATTCTGCTGAATTTTTGTTTTTTTGTATTTTTAATTTTTATTGAGCTCTACAGTTTTCTCTGCTCCTCTCCCTGCCCCCCCCCCCCCTGTTCAAGGTCCCCATGCTCCCAATTTACTCAGGAGATCTTGTCTTTTTCTACTCTCTACTTTCCATGTAGATTAGATCTATGTAAGTCTCTCTTAGTGTCCGCATTGTTGTCTAAGTTCTCTGGGATTGTGGTTTGTAGGCTGGTTTTCTTTGTTTTATGTTTAAAAACCACCTATGAGTGAATACATGTGATAATTGTCTTTCTGGGTCTGGGTTGCCTCACTCAAAATAATGTTTTCTAGCTCCATCTATTTTCCTGCAAAATTCAAGATGTCATTATTTTTTTTCTGCTGTGTAGTACTCCATTGTGTAAATGTACCACATTTTCCTTATCCATTCTTCGGTCGAGAGGCATTTAGTTTCCAGGAAGAAAACGTAGTTCATAGAGACAACAGTGTGTCACCAGTCATAAGAAAGAATGAAATCATGTCATTTAGAGGGAAATGATGGAACTTGAGATGGTCATGTCGAATGAGATAAGCCGTCTTATCATCAGGAAGGTAACGATCCCATGTACTCTTTCGTATGGCTTCAAAAGTTAACTAAGTTAGAAGCTGGAGAGATGGCTCAGCAGTTAAGAGCACTTGCTACTCTTGCAAAGGAGCCAGTTTAGTTCCCAGAACTTAAATCAAATGGCTCATCACTGCCTGGAACTCCAGCCTCAGGTGATCTGACATCCTCTGGCACCCACATGGACAAAAAGCAGATGCACACACATGCAGGTGTATGCACACACACACAATAGTAATAGTGTAATAATAATAAATAAGTCATTAAAGGACAATTAAATTTAAGTAAATAAATAAGACTTGGAGATAGAAAAGTCCTGCTACTAAGAAAGAAAGCTGGAGCAAGCTGCAGCGGTGAGGGAGAAAAGTAGGGGCAGCGAGTGTGAGCAGAGCGTTTTTGTCTGTCTTTCACCATTATTTTGTGCAACTAAATGTACCTTAGAAACAAAACAACAACAAAAACTTCTGAAAGAAGAATAAACTTTACCCAAAGAGAGGTGCGGCTTTGCCCTGGGTTACTAGAGGGATTCTGGAATGTTCCCCCTGAGAGGAGTATCTTCCTTTTTCTGGGCCCTTGCCACAAGATAGTCCGTGTGCCTTAGGATAAGATTTGGGAACACTGTGTTCGGTGCTCACATCCGGAAGAACTAGACAGTTTAGTCCAACCTCAAGCGGTTGATGGAGACTAAAGGTCATCAGCATAGGCGGGCTGTGGCTGGGCTCAACAGAGAGCAGAACCCCAGACACCTGAGCTTCCTGCCCATGAGAACACAGCAGCTCTTTCCCATGTTGTCAGAACGGCCACACGCCTCCAAAGATGGCGTAGGTCTAATGCTGGACGGCTTCCAGACGCTCTTCCTGAGCACTGTTCTTTTGCTTAATCCTGGTGTTTAAAAATACACATTAAAATGTCTTTACAACTCCAAATGTGCTTCAAAAATACTACTACTATTGTTATTTACTCAGTTTTGTAGGTCTACCTCTATTTTCTATTCGTTTGTGTCATCGGAATGTGTCCATTGCTTCTGTATGGACCACTGCTGTCCTGAGCATCCCCTCAGAACTCTCAGTTCTCTAAGTTTGTGGTCTTGGGATCTATTTTATTCCTGATTTTAGTAATTTGAGTCTCCTCTTTATTTGTTGTTGTTTGTTTGTTTGTTGTTAATGTGTTTAGTTTTACCCACTGTTTGGACTTTTAAAAGCATCATCAGCTTTTGGCTTCACTGTTTTGCTACTCTATAGTCCATGGATTCTCACTCTTTCCTTTATTGTTTCTGTTGGGTCCTTGAGGGCTGCACAAAGATGGGGAATCAACCACCAAAGTTTATTACACCTGAAGCAAACTTTATTCCAGGGGAAAAAATTAAAAATTAAAGAGATAAATCCCTATGGGGCACATAAAGCTATCAGCTAGCTGAGCCCACAGCCAGAGATGGACTTGTAAGGCTGTGGCAATGGGCTGTTTCCAAACTCCCCTTTTTATAGCAAGAAGCAAGCATTAGGTGTGAACAAAAGAATTTTTACAATCTCGAGGTAAAACTCAGATACAAATTGCCTTTTTTAAGAAAAAAATTCCACTAACAAGGGGTTTTTGTTTGTTTGTTTGTTTGTTTGTTAAACTAGTTTAGCAGGGACAGGTATGGGGAAATGCACAGCCAGAAAGTTAGGTACATCCCATTGTTTAAAAGTTAGCTCAGCTCACAGCAATTGCTGGTTGTGAGTGGCCAGGGGGTTATCTAAAAGCTGATTTTCAGTTTGCAGAGGCCGCTTCAGCCTTGCAGACAGAGCTATGGTTGTAAAGCAGAGTCACCCACTGTTAATAGTTCATCCTTAAACTGCTGAAAAAGCTGCTAAGAAAGCTGCTGACAGTCTGCTCTGGTTCTCCTAAGTTCACAACTTTGTATTTCTTTATTTCTACATTTTTATTTCTGGAATCTACATTTCTATATTCTTATCCTTGAACTCTTCCATTTCCTTCTTTTTTTTTCCCCTGCTCTGAACATGGTTTACTATTTTCCTCTGAACTCTTGAGGACAGCTTAGACTAGCCGCCTGTGCTTCCTTGTCGTCTAACACAGGTATTTGAAACTATAAACACCCCTCTTCACACTGACTCAATAGGCACCTGGGGCCATACACACCCCTCTTCACACTGACTCAATAGGCACCTGGGGCCATACACACCCCTCTTCACACTGATTCAATAGGAATCTGGGGCTAGACACACCCCTCTTCACATTGATTCAAATGTGTTCTGCAAGGTTGTATGCTTTGGTTTCATTCATAATACTGATTCCCAGTATGAATTTCTTCTTTATTTCATCCATATATTATTTAGCAATGTGCTGTTTGGTTTTCAAATGTTTGCTACAACTCCTTCATATCCCCCCCCCCCGAGTTCTTTCCCATTTAATTCCATTCAGACTGGAGAACATCCTGTTGGTAAAGGCAGTCCCATGGATTTTTTTTTTCACCCTCTGCTTGACCACATAATAATGGGTCACTGAGCTATAAACACCTACACATCCTGTTCTGGGATTATGGCACTGTGTGGGGGTAGCTTTCCGGGCCTCAGAGTCAATGTGTACTTTTTTCTGCTTAAGCAGATTTTTACAGGTTACAAATTGCTAAGGACGTAAAATAACCAAGTGTCTTCATACACAGTGCTACACCCCTCCGCAGAACAGAGGGCTCCTTCTGCATGTCTGTACTGAGCCATCTCAATGGCCTCCGGAATTCCTGCTCAATTTTAGAAATGATAAAACCTCTTGGAATGGGACTATGTGTCTTTACAGCAACCCTGTTGATCAGCGCTGTGCACAGCTGTGACTGGGAATCAGCTGATGCAGAATCAAGCGCTTGGGAGCTAGGAAGGGTTGTTAGTGTTTAAAGAAGGCATTTTTCCTGCCTAGGCCCACATCTTAAGACACTAGCTGGTCTAGAGACTTCGAACTCAAACCCAGGTCCCCTGGTCTCCCTCCCCCACAGTAGCATTTACCACCCCTGTCGTTCCATCGATGACAAACGCCTTGAGAACAAATGACCATGTCATGCAATGCCTTCATTCAATGCCTCCCTCAAAGCAAACTGTTCACAGCACTGGGTTGGAAGCCAATCTCCATGCAATAGGGTAAGCTGTTCAGGATGAACAAAGCACTGGGGAAGCTCAAACCAAGAATTCGGTGGGTGATTAATCATTAGCAAGTCTAATAATTTTGGGAAATAGTTGTCACTGGTCAAATATCTATATTTAGGGACCTAAATACGCTAGCAGGCACCTAGCAGAGCCTAACTCGCTGTAACTTAACAGAGATGGCTGCGTGATCACACACTTTCATCTGTAGCCAGACTGTTTGGAGACCATGTTCCTATTTAGCAAGGTTTTCTGATCAAAACCTGGAACGCAACCACATCCTTGATGTGTCCAGTGACCAACAAAACACGGACTCTTCAGTCTTCCCATGGAGAGCTCTCGACAGAACTCTGCCATCCATGAACATCCCTAATGAGGACAGAGGGACACTCTTTGTCCAGACAAAGACATCCCACCAATGTCATCAAGCCACAAATAGAAGTCTTCACTGCTTCCCGGAAGCAAGGCCAGGCTTTCGTCCTCCACCATGAAGATCACTGTCCTCTGCTTTACCACTGTCTTCCTCACGATTCAAGTTCTACCAGGTAAAACGAAATAAACTTGGCAGGGGCTTGGGTAAGAGGAGGTTATGGGGAAACAGTGCTCCAAGGCTAGTCACTGTCACCCGAGGCCCAAAGGGCGTTCTCACAAGAGATCCAGAAGACCCGCTGGTGGTGAAACCTGTAGTGAGTGGATTCATCCATTTTCCTCTGCAACTGTGGTTAGAGAAAAGGAAGCCGAGGGGGTTCCAAGTGCTTGTAACTCCTTTACTCTGTTGTAAGTGCGAGTTTAACTGGACAAAGTTTCTAGCAGTTTCTAGATCTGGGTAACTAAAACACTGGAACAATTCTAGTAAACCTTTATCTTCCGAGCTCTGTTAACTTCAGAAAAGTTACTGATCTGAGCCACAGACCCAAGAGCTCTGTAGGCCCAGGTAGGTGGACGGGTGGGAGTCGTGACCTAGCGAGGATTGCTGCAAGCTACAAAATCCACTCTAGTGTGTGTCTGGCCATCAGCATGAACCATAAGAAGTGGCGTTTTGCATTTTGTATAGGCTCTTGACTCTAGCCTGGCAATGTAAACAAATCAAGAAATCTCCCAGAATTCCTGAAAATGTAGAGCCAAGAGACAATAAGTGACACATTGTTTTACAACAGAAGGAATTTATTCTCATTGTCTCTGGCGCCTGCTGGACCTCCAGGGATGGGTGGGGTAGAGGCAGAAAGTGGTCTTTCCTCTAACTTTGACTGTGTGCATTATATGGGCAAAGAGACGCTGCTGAAGATGTCCAGCAGAAAATGTCATGGGAGGTATGATTGCCTTGATAAATCACATTTCTTCTCTAAACACGTGCACTTCAAGACTGCTGACTGCTAGCTAGTTCACGGAGCTTCATGCTGGGGGAGTGAGGGATGGCTTACAGCACAATTCCGACTCTGGTTCGGGAAATACAAAATGGAAAAGGGAAAGACGAAGTGGGAAGAAAATGGAGATCAAAAAGCAGTTTAGCACTGCAGATATTTACCAGGCACTGACACCCTGCCGGACAGCAAGTCCACGGAGACCAAAGTCATATGACGACCTTTGGTTCACAGAACCAAAGTACACTCATTACTCAACTCTGATTGCTACAAGAGACTCTATCTCAAAAAATTTTTTGATTAAAAAAAAAAACACCTTGAAATTTGGAATGCCTGCTCTGATTTTTCTGTGTTTGTTTGCTGGTTTCTCATTTTGGTTTGGTCTGGTTTGCTTTTAAGAATGTGGCAGGGTTTCTCGTGGCCCTTGAACTGGTTGGCTAGGCTGTCAGGGATGACTCTGAGTTTCTGACCCTCCTGCAGCCACCTCCCGTGTGCTGGAATTCCAGGCATGCACGACCACATGCCAGTGGCGCTGGGGTTCAAACCCTCACACGGGCTAGGCAAATACTCTAGTAGCTGAGGTATGCCCCCACCCCCCCTTTATTCACGTTCTCATTGCCATTCAAACAAAACAGAGGACATGTGATGTCATAAAATGAACAAAAAGAAGGCCATTTCTTGTCACCAAAACAGAATTGGGGACGATGTTAAAGAAGCCGTAGGAAGGTGGGTCCTCTCCACAGTCCTCAGGCAGACGCGTACAGTCCAGTTGAGCTTTGGGAGGTAAGATTGGGAGAGAGGGAGAGAGAGAAAGCAGATAGAGAGAGGCTGGGGACCTAAGTTGCAAGTCTGTCCTTATCACCTCCAATACTAGGTCACTAGATGGTCTGCTCCGTTCCCTCAGTCCTGTCTCCTCCTCCACCAGTGCTTTGGCCGGACAATCGGTGGATTTGCTCTGAGTCTAGATCCTGTTTGCATTCCGAGTACGTAGAAATGACAGGGGTCCGCACTATGAAATGTGCTAGGTTTATCAGCAAAGAAGTCGTTTTACAAAAGCACCCAGTTTTACTCCGATTCTTATAAGTCCACATGACATGTCACATATGAAATTTTGTAATTTCTCAGTTGCACAGCTAAGCGGCACGAAGCATGAGAGCTGAGGGTGACAGCAGATTTCCTCACCTGTTTGCCCCAGAATGGAAGCAACTGCAGCTCAAGCCATTGGTCCAGGGCCATGTCCTGAGTTCCCGCTGTAAGCCAAGACTTGAGTCTGGCTCTAGGGTGCTCTGAGATTCCAGCAATTCATTACCACACAGTGAGGTCAGCTGAGCACACAGCCACAGTAAGAAGCAAGAGCTACTGAGGTGGAGAGACACTCAGTGATTCAGCACAGTGATCATCCTCCCGGGGCTTCTAAGCTAACGTGAATCTTCTTGCTACCACGGGACAGCCTAATAGAAAGGGAACCTGTATGTACAGCAATTGGCTAATGAAGAGATACAAAAACCCAGGAATCAATCAGTTCAGATTTCAATTGGCTTCTGCCTAGCACTCAATACTTAAAAGGATCATTGGCTTAAAATCAAACCAAACCAAACCAAACTATACCCTTAAAATTATTTCCCAATTTACATTCTAAATGAAAATGGGTTGCTGCCTGCATACTTGATCTTCTCATTCATTAGGTATTTTTTTAAAATATTTGTTTATTTATTTATTTATACAATATTCTGTCTGCATGTCTGCAGGCCAGAAGAGGGCACCAGACCTCATTACAGATGGTTGTGAGCCACCATGTGGTTGCTGGGAATTGAACTCAGGATCTTTGGAAGAGTAGGCAATGCTCTTAACCACTGAGCCATCTCTCCAGCCCCTAGGTATTGTTTTCTATAAACCACAAAGAGTTACATCAATTTAAGGCATTTGGATGTCAGCTCACTTCAATTTAATAGCCCATACTGATTAGAAAGGGTTCAAGAATTGGTGTTGGTCAAATGAAGGGAGGAGCTAGGAGTGTGCTTGATGAAAACACATTGTATATATGTACAAAATTCTCAAGGAATAAAAAAATAAATAAAATGTTTGCTGGTATAGAATGAAGAACAATAAAGCATTGGCCTTTACGGGAAAAAAAATGCTTTGGTGCTTCTTTAGCTCAATGAAAAGCTTAGGAAATTGTCAAAGGAGACATGGGTTTTGTTGCTCAGAATAAAGCCACTTCTGATGGCATACGCGTGCATGTGGCCAACCTCTACAGCAGTTCGATCGTGGGCCGTAAAGCAAAGACCAGTCAGTGTCTCAACAAGTAAATCTGTCTGCCTCTTAAGAACCCGAATGATTCGCTCTCAAGGCAATGGTTTCTAAAGTAGGGCTGTAGCCACAACCAGCGTCAGAGAGGAAGGAAGGAATGATACAGCACCAATGTGCCACAGATAACAGTGAGGACGCACGCGTCCGTGAGAGGCAGACATACGGCGCCTTCCCCAGAAGAATAGCATCTCTCTAGCAACGTCCTTGAGGTATATTTTCTTTTAGGTCAGTATTTTAGTTCTAATTCTGAAAGACAAATATGTAAATATGGGAGATAGATAGATACATACATACATACATATGTACTACATACCTATGATACACTGATACACTGATACATGGATGCATAGGTAGATACATATATATATAGATAGAGAAAGGTAGATACATAGATACATAAATACATTGGTACATAGTTAGATACATAAGTAGATAAATAATGAATAGACAGCATATAATGTCTAGAGCATTATCCAACAACCTAGAAGAATAAGCAGTGAAGAAATGGTATTAAAAGCTTCTCTTTCTTGCCATAGTTGTTAGAAGATGGGAAAGAGAAAGAATAAAGAGCTGTGTGCATGCCTAGAACTCTTAAAGCAGAGAGACACTACTCAGTCTCAGCCTTTTGTTACTTAGATATACCCAGTGTTGCCAGATTTCTCAAGGAGAAATTCCCAAATGTTTTGTGACGTGGGGTTTTTAAGTGTTGGTGTAAGAAATCAAATGACAATGAACGTACGTACAAAGTCATTTTCAGATGTGACCCCCGCCCAGTCTGTAGACTAAGTAAACATTCATCAAGTCGAATAAAGGGTTACAATAACCCTCTTCTGTATGCAGTCAGGGGCAAGTTCAAAGAAATCTGCGAACGCCCAAATGGTGTTTGCCAATTGTATTGCCTTGAAACGGAAGTCTACGTTGGGAGGTGTTTAAACAGACGACCGTGCTGCCTGCCCATGGGGAATCAACCCAGAGTTGAGGATGACACACCCAAGAGCTGAAGCCTTTCGCTCGGATCCCTCACAGCGTGTTTTATCCTCGCTTCTCTCTCTCCTGTCCTCTCTTTCTCTCTTCTGTGTTTTTGAATAGGTTCTTGTCCATTCCTCAATAAGTAATAAAGAAAATTAGCAGAGAGAAGGCTGTGTTTTTAAGTTATTATTTTATGTGTGTGGGTGTTTGGGCTGTATGTCTGTCTGGGCGCTACGTGTGTGCCTGGTGCAGGTGTGGGCCAAAGACGGTGTTGAATTCCCTGGAACTGGAGTTACAGACAGTCGTGAACTGTCATATGGGTGCTGGGAGTTGAACCTTGGTCCTCTGGAAGAACAGCCAGTGCTCTTAACCGCTAAGCCATCTCTTCTTCCTGAGAAGGCTGCTCTTTAAAGTGTGTGTTCTGGGACTGGAGAAATGACTCAGTGGTTCAGAGCACTGGCTGCTCTTCCAGAAGACCTGGGATCAGTTCCTGGCACTCATGTGGCATTTACAACTGCCTGTAAGTCCAGGTGCCGAGGATCTGATGCGCTCCTCTAGCCTGTGTGGGCACTGCATGGATGTGGTGCACAGACGTCCATGCAAGCAAAACGCCCATACAAATAAAGAGAAATAAAATATTGAAGTTTGTGTTCTACCTCATGTTTGACTGTGGTTGGGCTCTCGGTGTGTCACATCCTGGCCTAGGTGAACTCCTGGTTCCCAGTGTTCCCTGCAGAGTATGGAAACCAGGCTCACATCCACTGCCTTTGTTCAGCGTCTCAACCAACCCTTCTTCACCCTTTATCTGAGTCCACTCCCTTCTCCCTTAGGAAAAAATGCCCTCCCTCTCATGGAAACTTGTAGGTTCTCGCTCCCTGTAAAGGGAATCCCCAAAACAGAAAGCCTTTCCCCAGGCAGTCAGACATCACTCGGAACGACTCGGACATGAGGAGAACGCAGAGAATTAAACACATTTGCTTCAGCACCTCTTTCAAACGCTGTGTCCTGGGCCTGCTCTACCCTGAGACTCATGGGCTTCCCCAGGTCACTGCTTTCTCCACCTTAGCAATCACTCATTGGTGTGCTGCACACTGGGGAACACAGATCTCTTACCTGTCAGTTCTGTGGGCAGGACGCTTAGTGTGGCTACAATGGGCCAGAACCACGGTCTGGGTGCTTTCTGGGAGCTTCACTGGTCCTTCCACCATTTTTACCTCAGCAAGGTGGCGTACCAGTCACGGCTCCTTCTTTTTGTCTCTAAATCCAGCAATCCCAAGTTGAGCTCGGCTCACACCCAGTGCTCCATTCATCCTTGGCCCCCATCTCATGTGTGTGGAGGGAGTGGGAGGAGGGGAAGGAGTGGGAATTTGGATTGGTATTTTTTTAAAGTAATAAAATAATAAAAAAGATAGTTAAAGGACATGATTAGCAGGTTGTATGTGTTTGAAAACATCTTAATTTGTATAGTTACTATATGTAAATATAAAATAATTAAGTAAGTAGATGGCATTTAAAGGATTTTAGCTGGATTTTATTTTCCTAGATCTGAATTGGCCAAAAGGGCATTTTAAGTCTGCCATATGGGCAACTCGAAACCTTAAAAAGTTTAAAACTTTTGAACTCTTAAAAGATCAAAGTTTTCTGTCTTGTTTTGCTTTTTTTAATTTCTTAAGGGGGAGGTTTTTTTTGTGCTTTGTTGTAAAGTTAACTCAATAAAGTAGCTCACCATATTTAACTCTAGTCCCAGGAGATCTCACACAAGTTCTGGAGCCTTCTGACCTCCGACAGGCACCAGGCACACATGTGGTGCACAGATATGCAGGCAAAACAACCTTTGCTATACAATAAAATTAAATAAGTCTTTTTTTAAATGAATGAATGAATGAATGAATTAATGAATGAACAAATGGATGAGATGTCCCAAATCTGGGGAAAGATAGAGCAACTAGGTACAACTAATCTAAGTCTCCAAACATGGTGAACCCCAAGAGCCAGGACATGTTATCACCGAAGGGTAAATAAGCATCACGGGTCTCCAAAGAAACAGATATGCAGGCAATAGCATGCAGTGTTCGGGAACAATCTCACACATCTGCAGCCAAATGATTCTCAATAAAGGAAACAAAAACATGTGGTGGAACAAAGAAAACCATTGGCAGAGTGGTCCAGGGAGCCATGACACACAAGGACGGAAGTGACCTCCATCCCTTACTGAAAATGGGCCAACAACCTAAATGTTAGCTCAGACACAATAAGCTACTAGAAGAGAATGCTGGAGAATTTAACAAGTTGAGTAGACAGTGGGGTTTTGTTGTTGTTGTTGTGTTTGTTTCTGTTGTTGGTGTTTGTTTCTGTTGTTGGATCACACCCCAAAAGCAAAGGCAACAAAGTGAATCTATACAAACGGAATCGTATCAGACCAAAAAGCATCTTTGCCTCAAAGGGAAACAATCGGCAGAATCAAGGGACAGACCACTGAATGGGAGAAATGTTTGCACACCATTTATCTGATGAGGAACTAATATTCAGAATCTATCAGGAACTCAATGTACAGCAAGAAAATCTGATTTTTTTTAAAGAGGAAAAGTTATCTGAATAGCCCTTTCTCAAAAGAGAGCACACAAATAGTCAAGAAGAATATGGAAAAAATGTAAGTGCCCAGAAAATGCAAATTCTGTTCATAATAAGGTGTCCTCTCAGCCCAGTTGGGATGGCTATTATCAAAAAGAAAAAACTCACGAAAGCCAAAAAGATTGTGAGGGGAAGTGCCTCACACAATGCCAATGTGGATAGAAATCAGTACAACCAAGAGACAGAGCTGAGTGGAGGCTGCTCGGAGTTCCAACCAGAACCACGGGGCCAGCAGTGGCGCAACTAGACAGAAATGCAGCCGTATTTCCAAGAACCATCTATCTGCACTCAGATGTTCACTGCGACACGATCCATGTTAGCAGAGAAACAGAACACACCTAACTACCAGTCTTTGGAGGGATGAAGAAAATGTGATATCCGGATCATGGGCACAATAAAATAGTGTCCCATCATTTAAAAGGGACAAAACTCTACCATTGTCAGGAATGTGGGCAGAGCTGAAGATTAATGTCATATTCTGTGAAACCAGCCACAGGAAGACAAACACCACGTTATTCCAATCTGCATTGTTCTCTCCATGACGTAGACGCGACCCCAAACTGGCTCTTCTCTCATGAAGTTTTGGAAGGTGTCTGAACATCGTTTTCATCTGTGACAGCATGGGTAGAATCAGGAAATGTACGAAGTGACATCGACCAGGCACAGAAATGCAAACCCAGTGAGCTCTCACTCGTTAGTGGAAGCTTACAGGAGCTGATGATATATGAGAAGAGAGTAGACAGCCGTCCTTGGGATTCAGCCGGAGCGGGATGGTGAGGAGCGAGGAGTAGAGAATGGGGCCGAGACAATACCAGTGTGGGGAAGAAGCTCTAATACTATACAGTTGCAATATTTTAATGTATCAATTTCTGAGTCTGTCATACTTGTCTACGATGTATTTTAATCACATCCACCACTACTCCTCCCTCTAACTCCTCCTAGATTCATCTCTCTTCCCCATCCTTTAATTCCCTTCCCCCTCCTCCCTCTAACTCCTCCCAGATTTACCTCTCCTCCCTGTCCCTCCTCTCCCTTCCCCCTCCTCCCTCTAACCCCTCTCAGATCCACCTACCATCTCCTGATATGGGAGGTGATGTATGTTGTGAATATGTTTTATTGCCATTGGCTAATAAAGAAGCTGCTTTCAGCCAATGGCTTAACACAATAAAGAGAGAGTAGGCAGAGTCAGAGAGAAGCCATGTAGCTGCCCACAGGAGACAGCCACACCAGAACCTTACCGGTAAGCCACAGCCACATGGCAATGCACAGATTAATAGAAATGGGTTAATTTAAGGTGTAAGAGTTAGCCAAAAATAAGCTTAAGCTATTGGCCAAACAGTATTGCAATTAATACGGATTTCTGTGTAATTGTTTCGGGAGTCTGGGCAGCCAGGAAATGAACAAGCAGCCTCCCCCAACACCCTCCTCCCTCTAGCTCCTCTATCCCTCCTCCTTCTCTATCCCTGTCCTCCCTAGCCACTCCCAGCTTTGTGTCTTTCTTTTTTGCAAGACACACCCATAGGAACAATTGTGTCAAGAACATAGAACACGTAGTTCACAGTTTAAACCCCGGCACTCGGGAGTCCGAGGAAGGTGGATCTCTGGGAATATGAGGCCAGCCTGGTCTACAAAGAGAGTTCCAGGACAGTCAAGGCTGTCACACAAAGAAACAAAAAACAACAAAAATGAATAACATTCTATGATGGTCTTCTCAGATTTAGAGCCCCTTCCTAAGAAAGAAACGCATGCCTAGTGTGTAAATCTGGCCAAGGACACAGAGTTGAGGAGCCGGTGGGCCCCAGAAGTAAACTTATGCAACTATTTGATAAAAATACCCTGGTATCATAGGGTCCTCTAAATGTGTATCTTTCTACCAGTAAGCTAGAGTGTGGATCTCATTAGAGAAGATTCTTTGTGCAGTGGGTGGAGGTTAACACAGAAACCCACAACTGGTCAGAGGGAAGAGAGTAAGTGACGGACACACACACACACAGCACACACACATACACACGGACACACACCAAGGAGCCACTGCAGAAGAAAGAAAGGAAAGATTCTAAGAGCCAAATGTCAGAGATGAGCAGGGCAAACTATTTCTCCTGTCCACAACAGGAACTGTCCTCATGGGCTCACGGCGGTGGTGATGTGCCCACCTAAGTCCTACACAAGATGATGTCAGTTACCATTTCAGCACAAAGTGAAGCGGTTCATGAGCACCCCACACTAACTGAGGAGCTGTGGACAGCTGACAGCTTCTGGGGGAGGGACGAGTTTGTTTTCTTTAAAGTTATGATTCCTGGTAGATGGGCCATCCCCTAGTGGATAACCTCACACTAAGTATACAGGCAGTGCAAAGGGAATACAGTGGGCTATTAGAAAAGGATATGCAACGGTTAATTAA